ATAAAAAAGAGCAATGGCACGATAGACACTGCAAGACTTCATATGAGAAGTATTTTAAAAAGAAAAAGACGAAGTTGAGAATAACCTTAATTTTGAGATCATGCCACTTCTCAAGGGCTTCAGGCACATCATCAAAGACAACGGCATCTATCACTTTGCTCTGAAACCCGGTTCTCCAGATATGGCCCTGGGAGGCATAGTCAAACCTCAAAACATTGCCAAGGTTAATAAATAAACTTCTTTCTGCAAAGAGTTTCATTGAAAAATAAATAAAAACTTAAATCAGATATTTGCCTGTCACTGTTTCAAGGAAGTGATTTTCTGGTCAGTATTTATCATAGCCTCCACATTGGCAACAATAACAGTAATTATCGCTACTTTATTTCCATCTTCGGGAGTTGAAACTGCCCCAACAATGTTGTTTTCTAGATCTTGTACATGCATAAGAAAACAGAAGTAGAAAATAGTTTTGTGTATGCTTTCTGGCCCTCAATATAAGGACTTTATAAGGTTTTTTTCAATGGTTAAATTAATTCTGTGAACTCGAACAGATCAGCTAAAAATATTTCATTAGTATAGCCAACCATCGTAACCATGTTGCATGGAGGCTATAAATATATATTAAAAAGATAAAAAGAAAAACTCGAGTAAACTACTTTAGGCTACTCAAACCGTGGGTTACCCAATTTTTTCACTAAATTTTTAAATGTTGAACGATACAATTGTAAAAAAAAAAAAAAAAAAAACAATAGATTCAACGTTCATGGGAAGTGTTGATGCATGACAGAACATGAGATGTCTAAGAGGGTAATGTGAAATAGAACGCATAATTCGGGCTATAAAGCGCAACAAAGAGGAAAAGCTTACAACAGGCGAATTAGAAAAACAACCCCATAGTTTAGGGGTTAAGAGAGCCTATAAGAATCTATAGCAACTAATACACAGGAAAACATTGTTATTTATTTTTCCAAACATAACTATTATAAGAATCTAAAAAGGTGTTTGATGTCTAACTTACCTGAGATTATAATAATTTAATATCCTCTTGAGTTTCACCGAATCATATATAAGCTCCAAATGCTTCCTAACACTATCACGAGCATAAGGAAATTGAACATCCATAAAAAACAGTATGGGAGTGGTTGTTCCTTCGCTGTTCAATACAATGCAACACTACAAATTGAATATTTCTTTTGTGTGCATAGAAATAAAAATTAAATACGTTAAAACAACTTGTAGAATAGTGTGGAGTGCTGGAAATAACTAAAAAACTCGCTCTCATCTATTCAAAGCTATTATTTAGAGCATATACTCAATATGGCTACAGAAAGATATTGACATGGATCATAGGTTATCCAATCAATTTGCTGCAACAGTTACCAAATTTCCCCTACAACAAAGAAGTAAAGAAGTGGCCAAATCACAATCAAACATTACATCAAACACAACATTCTTAAACCAACAAATCATTCAGAGTTTCACATTTTCATTTACCAACATTATGCCATACAAAGCATACAAACACCATCACAAATAGCCTCATATACATTGTGCTTTATAAGATCATAACCAAGTATCAAATGTCAATATAAAACTCCATCTTAGTACCTTTGTTATCTAAAATGGTCAAGTTCTCTGTAAACCACCTTATTAAATAGAACTGAGGTACATATCTCGATGGCTCTCGACTTCATCTTTATTACTGAGCTGATTAATCCCCTATCTCTATAACCGCTGCAAAAACAGAGATATACCGCAACTAAAATACCAACAAATGAAGTCTGGTCACGAATACACACATCCATAGATTCCTTACCATTGTCTAGTGATAAATACCACATATAAAAAAAAAACAAAACAAAAAAAAAAAAATCCACCAGCAAACAAGAGAACAAGATCAACGCACAAAGAAATTAGTTATACATCACCGCATAGGTTAATGAAATTTCGCAGTAAACAAACAGAGACTACAACAAAATTTAGCAATTTTCTCAGGAGAGGTGAATTTACATGTGTAGCAGCAACAAAGAGAAGTGTAGCCTCTGTAGGTCGCTCACACTGCTTGTAACACCCCGCCTAAAACTTACTAAAATCAGAGTAAATTTTTCGCGCTAAAAAGGAAAGAACTTATTTAATTTTCGAAAACTCATATAAATTTTTTTTTCGAAAATA